ATCGAGAAGCTGGACTGCATGTGGGGAAAAAACAACAAAGATTGTGAAAAACTAGAAACTAAATTAGATGAATAATGGCTTAAAGACCTGTGTTTGTTAATTTTGACTGAGAAGTGAAAAAGTGAAAAGAGATGGTCTTCAAAGATCTGAAAAGCAATTGTACTGAAAAGGAACAAAGGGTTTGTTTGTTTTCAAAAGCCAATAATGGCTTTTATTTTCATCCAGAGCTAATGGATGACAATAGAAAATAAGAAGGAATTTTAGGCCAAACTTTAGAAACATTGCAAATTTGTAATGCTGAAAGCAGTTTAATATAACAAACTGCTTGTGGAATAGGCTATTCTTTGTTAGACTTATCTGTCAAAATGCTATAGGGTATCTTGCATTGTCCGGGAAGTTGGACGACGTAATCTTCAGTAGAAATTCCCATTCTGTTAGTCAATAATACAAAATTAAATGTCACTATGTTTAGAATGTAATGAAACTATTTTTTTTTTCTAATAGCAGACTTCCGCCTTTCCTTTTAGGGTGATTCTGGAGGACCATTAGCCTGTTTAGGAAAAGGAAACAGATGGTACCTTACAGGCATTGTCAGCTGGGGTGAAGGATGTGCTCGAAAGAACCGCCCTGGAGTTTATACTAAGGTCATAGCATTTTATGAATGGATTCGTCAATACATAAACTAACAAATGGCTTAAAAGAAACCTGAAAGCATCCATACGTCCTTCAATTACTATGTACAAAATAAACTGTATAAAACAATTTTAAAAAGCAATTTGGATGTTTTTGTTTAATTTTTTTTTAAAAAACCTTAGTGTCATGTGTCTGATTAACGAAACACTTAAAAGGACTTTCAGGCATATTTTTCCTAAAAGCATTTATTAAGGTTACAGAGACGTCAGTACAGCATGGTGGAAATGCTTAGGTCTGGCTTCTCTTCCGTTACGCATAACATTCCAAGCATTTCCCATTCCCTTATTGTAGGGTCATGGTTCACATCTTCCAATCAACTTGGAAGATGTGATTTACTTCCGGTTTCTTTCTCCCGGGCTATCCTTATGCTCCTCCCTCTTTCCCAGTTGCTGGTTTAACTATATAAATACCAGACAGTTCTGCATATTGTCAAAGCAAGAATATACAGTATTTGCAGCGTTGACACTTAGCTTTTTTCACTAAATAATTATTTAATTAAGGCATGGGTAATTTTCACTATGTGGGTGTTCATGGTATTCTATCAGCAAGTATGGAAAAGAGGAGTAGGATTTTGTTGAATATTTCTTGGTTTGTTTTGTCTTCTGATTTTCATCTATTTTCACCTTGTTTTTGATATTTTCTCTTAAGATCATATCAGTAATCAATCACTGAGATACATATAGAACTTTGCCAAATACAATTATGCTGAAAGTGAAGGTCAATTTCTTTGGAACAGATGCTGGATACTGCTGACATCTCAGCATTCAGTCAGAGTTCCTTTTGGAGTTAGTTGGGTTGAACCTTGTTTCTTTAATCCCCTGGTAGATTTTCTTGCCATTTCTCTTCTATTCCACATTGCTAATATGCAAATGTTAACTGTAACAAATAATAAATTGGACAGAAACACCCAAAATTGGAGCAATAGCTCAAGTGCATACCCATAAACCTACAGGTAGTCCTTGCTTCATTTAATGACAGTTCAAAGTTACAATGGCCTCAGAAAAAGTGACTTATGATCCATCATCGAAGTTATGACTGTCACACCACCTATAGTCATGTGGTTGCAATTTGGGCAGTTTCCAAATACTGTTTCTTGTCCTGCACTCTGGTGCTTTGGAGAATAGTTTGACCCCCTCTTCTTTGTGGCAGCCCTTCAAATACTGGAATACTGCTATCAAGTCGCCCCTGTTTCTTCTTTTCTTTAGACTAGCCAAATCCAAGTCCTGTAGCCATTCTTTGTATCTTTTAGTTTCCAGGCCTTTGATAATTTTAGCTGCTCTTCTCTGAACTTTTTCCAAGGTCTCAACATCTTTTTTGTAGTACGATAACCAAAATTGGTTTAAGTATTCCAGGTGTGGTCTTACTAGGGTTTTATAAAGCAGTACTAACACTTTGCGTGATCTTGATTCTATGCCTGTGTTTATACAACCCAGGATTGTGTTAGCTTTTTTGGCGGCCGCTGAATACTGCTGGCTCATAGTCAAGTGCTCATCCACTAGGACTCCAAGGTCCCTCTCACAATTACTGTTTTTGAGCCAGGTCTCGCCTAATCTGTACTTGTACCTTTGATTTTTCCTGCCTAAACGTAAAACTTTACTTTTCTTCACATTAAAATTCATTTCCTCTCAATCATCTGTATGGCCTTAGCAGGCAGGCAGGAGTAGCAATTGTTATTTTAAAACAAAAGATACATATTAGCAAAACATTGATTAAAATAATAAAAGGAATAATGAATCAGTGACTGGCTCGAGAATCTATCTTTTCAAAATATATATAGATGTCATGCATCATATAATACTTACTCTAAAGTTTAGGATTGTTCTGTTAACTTCTGCAAAACTTTGTTCTTTATTATTATTTATTATTTTATTTATTATTCTCTTAGCTGTTAAATGCAACCAACGCTATTTATGAATTCTTAGTTTCATACAGACACAGAGTAATATAGATGCCATACTTTTGCTACATACTTCATACTTTTGCTCTTAATGAAACTTCCAGCTACACTTCCATATATATAGTTATCAAGAGTTGCAGTTCCAGTGGTGGGATTCAGCCCGTTCGCACCACTTCGACAGAACCAGTAGCTAATTTTTTGTGGCCCAGGCCCAGAATGGACTTCTGGAAGCAGCATCCACGCAGAGAACCGATTGTTCACATATTTGAATTCCACTACTGTGCAGTTCTATCTGCAGGAATATCTTGCCAAAGTAACACTCATGTTCTCATGCTTACCTGATTAGACTACTGCAATGTGCTAGCTTCAAAGGCATCTCAGAACCTATAGTTTTGTTAAAATGTAGTTGTCTGCATTTTAACTTTCATAATGTACCAGGAGCAGATAATATCTGTGATACATTTATGTTTCTGAATATAATCTGAAATACTTGTTTGATCAGGTGTCAAATGTCTAGAGGTCCACCTTTTTAAAAACAGAGTCAACATTCTTCTCTCTCTCTCTCCCCCTCTCTCTCTTTTTCTCTCTCTCTCTCTCCCTCCCTCCCTCCCTGTATTAGAGAACAGCCTTTCCTTAGTGATTTGATTGCCATCTAGCTCAGCGGTTCTCAACCTATGGGTCGCGACCCCATTTGGGGTCGATCGACCATTTCACAGGGGTCGCCAAGCAAGGCTGTCCGCCATTTTTTTCCCCTTTTCCGGCGGATGCCTTACCTCCCTTGAGCTGGGCCAGCTGGTGGTCGGCCTGCTTCGTCTCTGCCACTTGCCAGCTACGCCTCGGCCGGCGCAGGGGGCGGAACCACGCATGTGCGGCGCTCCCGGGCAGGGAAAGTCCTCGACTTACGACCTTCGACTTACGACCGGTTTAGTCCTCGACTTACGACTGGTTTAGTCCTCGACTTACGACCAGTTTAGTCCTCAACTTACGACCGGTTGGGGGTCGCGGCATTAAAAAGGTTGAGAACCACTGATCTAGCTGGTTAAGATAAGATGTCTGAAGAGCTTTTTTCAACTGTTCCCTAGTGAAAAAAGGTTCACTTCTAGTCTATCTCTATTTCAATCATTTTATTTTATTTCAATCATTCAACCATTTTATATGACCATCCACCTTCCATATTTGACTCTGGGTGGCTAAGCAAGTTTTAAAAATTGTTCAATCAATAAGAGAGAGAGAAAAAAAGAAAGAAACAGGGACCAAGGACAACTAAGATACTACAGCAATAATAATAATAAAAATAAAATAATAAAATAATAATAATAATAATAATAATAATAATAATAATAATAATAATAATAATAATAATAATAATAATAATAATAATAATAATAATAATAAACCCTAGCAAATACTACTTAGGTCAGTTAAATTCCCAGCCACCAATTTGGAAAAAATAGCTTGGCTTTGACAGATTTTTTTTTTAATTGCCTGTTAGCTTTGACACTACTGTTAGCTTTGACAGAAATGGCTCTAATTTGTTCTCACCAAATTCTGCAGCTGTGAAAAATTACACCAATATATTAAGGAGATGGTATTATTCCATTTTATTTTTCCCAATTTTGCCGCTGATGCTTGCAGCAACTAGGTCTTCCTATGAAACCCAGAATTTTGGTCTGAGTGATTGATTGTAAATCCAATGAATTTAAGAGAATTTTCTTCCAAGTAATTGTCCATAAGCTTTTAGCCAAATTCATGCATGCCTTCCCAAGCAAGTGCCATTGAGTTTAAGAAACTGTGTCACATAAATTCAGGGAATTAGTTAATAAAAGTTGGTGTAGAATTTCATATCTTTGTTAGGGAAAAAAAAACCCATTAAATTGCCATTAAACAAAAAGCTGTTACTCTAAACTAAATGTGTCTAAATATCTATGGAGATTCTCAACCATCCATGTTATGGTTGTCCCAAAGGTACTTTTCCAAAAGGCAACTGTACTTTCTTTTCTTTTTTTTCCTTGAAAACTTTTGGCTTCTTATCAGTTCTGACTGAATGGTGGGGAACGGAAGGATTTATAGAGAGCCAACGACTTTTTTGATGAGAAGCAAAACGCTTTCAAGGAAAAAATAAGGAAAACCCAGTTGCCTTTTGGAAAAGCACTTTTTGGGGGATTGAATTTGTCTGCCTTTAAGCTGCAGTCCCATTGACCCTTGCTTCTAATTTTTTTATTTCTAATGTTAAAATTATCATTTTTCAGTGCTTTTGTTTTAGCCTAGCAAAGGCGTGACCTTTCGTTTTGTCATTCCACTAAAGACTGAGTCGCTTCGATTAAGCTACCTGCTGTATAGAAGGCGGTCGAACCGGAAAATTCAGTCTTGCGCAATTTGTGAGCGAAAGGTTGCTTTTTGGACTCGATAGAAAGAACGGGAGGTTCCTTCTTTCCTTACTGATTTTTTTACTGGCATCTTGGAAAACCTTTACCGGACATTGCATCGTTTTATTCGTTTTACCGTCAAATCATCCCTGATTCATGGCAACCCTGGCGCCCAAATCTATTTTTCGCTTTTATTTTCTTCCACTTTCTCTATCAGCGGAATCGAGTCTGGACATGTAAGGGAAACTCAGTTATTTCCCCGTTCACGTAGCCGATGATCTTGAAAAAACTAAGTCAACCATGGAAGCAGGGAATGGCCTTGTTCCCGCGCAAAATCAGCCGGGCATTGAGTTACGCCGAAAAGACGAAGAAAGAGGGGAAGAAAGAGGGGAGCTTCTGCAGCAAGAAGCCCCTCGCGCCGCCGAGGTAAGCCACTGCGTGCTTCGCTTCTTCTTTTTTATTTTTGGAAAGTTTTATTTTTTTGTTTGTTCCCAAAAACAAAACAGGAAATTACTTGATCAGCGTCCCGTTTAGCGCAAGAAGTAATTTACTCGGAGTTATTGAGCCTGGGAAATTTACAGTAATTCTAACGCTGTATGGGGGGGGCGGGGCGGGGGGGAGTTATGAAATCTACTGGGAACCAACAGGGTGTGGATGAGTCAATTCTGTGTCTACGTGTAGTATCGAGGCAACTATTTACACTCTCACCATGCTGCTCATGTTAGGTTTAATTTGCAATCGGAGGATATATATTTATTTCGCTAGTTAACAGTGTTTCTCAACCTGGGCAACTTTAAGATGGATGGACTTCAACTCCCAGAATTCCCCAGCCAGCAAAGCTGGCTGGGGAATTCTGGGAGTTGAAGTCCATCCATCTTAAAGTTGCCCAGGTTGAGAAACACTGCGCTAGTAGAATAGTGCACATCTTTGTTAACCAGAGGCACTTTTCTAAGCTCTGACATTTTAACTGTGTTGGACTGCAGGGTCATGTCAAAGTGATTCACTTATCTCCCATTAAGCCAGAAGACAAGCAACTATTCTAGTTCTTCCCCACATCTGTCATAATAGTAATTATTTAGCTTATAGGCTTAGAAAGATAAGAACATATTCAGTGTCTATGCTCCTTTTTTCTGAGAGTTCAAGGTGGCTTCACAGACAGTTTCCCCTTGTTTTATCTTAGAAGACTAACCCTATAAGGTAGGCAGCTCGAGAATGGGCGACTGGTCCAAGATTACCAGAAAACTGCAGGACAGAGTCAGGACTTCTACCCCAGTCTCTTAGCTGCTTCAAGCCACAAGCTGAAGCAATTTGTGGTCCTGGTTCTAAATCAGGTGCCAGCCTAGAAAGCAGGAAGGTGTGAGTTCTAGTCCTGCCTTAGGCATGAAAGCCAGCTGGGTGACTTTGGGTCAGTCACTCTCTCTCAGCCCACCCCACCTCACAAGTTGTTGTGGGGAAAATAGGTGGAAGGAGTATTAGGTATGTACATCACCTTGAGTTACTTCTATTATAAAGTAATACCGGTAATAATAAAGGTGGGGAAAAAAATCAAATAAATTAATGAAATAAAATACATTCTCATTCTTATGGTCTTTCTTTATAGTTATCCCATTGAAAAAGATGAAACCGTGTCCCTCCGACACTTTCTTCAAAGTTGCAAGACTTTGATTTGTATTACACCTGTTATTGCTCAAACTGACTGCAGTTGATTTTTACTTATTTCCAAGGAGTAAAAAGAAAATTGGCTAGAGTAGGATTAGTATTAAATGTTGGATTAGGTTAAGCCAATACTAGTGTTGCTCAGAATGTTAATAGTCTAGCAAGCTTGATTCCTATTGCTTATTAGAGCTGAAGTTAGGATGTCTCTTTTTTGATTTTTAAATATATCTTCTCCCTTTTCTTATTGTTTTCCATAAAGCCTTTTGTCTTATTTAATTTTTTCAATCCTGTTCGATGCATGTTATCATTTCTGTTTTGTTGAAACTTTGAAAAACTGTTTCTAGACATTGTTGATCACACTGGGATGAGTGGAATAATTAACTGACTTAGTATGATACAGTATGTTCCTTATTGGGGGAAAATACTCAATACTACTCAATATTTCCTTATTGAGTAGTACTATGCTTGCTTTGAATATCAAAATATTCCAGGTTCTTTTATTAAGGAACTAGGTAGTCCTGGCTAAAACCTTGGTTTAAAACATTGGAAGTCATATCAGTCAGCAAAGATGTGTTCAGAAATGTGGAACAATGGTGTAGTGAAAAACACCTTCCTTTGTTCCATCAAGATTATGGAGTATATCTGGTTGAATATTTTAAACTTAAGAATATAAATATGCTTTTCATTTTTTAATTCTTTTGTATCTTTAGGAGACAAGCAGCCTAAAATCACCTTCTTCAATTATTTTTTGGAAATGCAAACTCTGGATGATTATAACATCTGTTTTTCTATTGTTGATCTTTGTGATCATTTTAAGTTTAATTTTGTATTCAGGTTTGTACTCTTTATGGATGTGATTTTATATCTCTATATATAATTAGGTCAAAAGATTGGGGATGGGAATGAATTAATTAATTAATATTTTTATTACGGCTACTGACAGAATTGTAAAGAAACACTTTAATAATAAAGTGGAATTAAAAAGGGAATACAGTTTATAAGATATTTTCTTTTTTCTAATATTGACACATATTATCCAAACATAAAACATAAACTTTCCTTAATTACGTAAAACAATAAAAATAAAAACAAAGAGAAAAGAACACATACATAAAATAACACTAGCGCAAAGGTTATTTTTTTAAAATAAGGCAAAATAAACTTTAAAGCAAATATATATTGCATGTATGTGTATGTGTATATATGAGAAAGCATTCTAATACCACCCTATCTATTTTTGTTAACATTAAACTGACCCAATGGTGCCAATTACTTTTAAGTATTTATTAAGTTATTTGCTGGAGATCAAGTTCCATTCTCAACTCTCCCATTATTTTGTAATATATCCCGTAATACGAAATCATTAATAAAATCAGAAAAGAGAAGCGGTTTCTATCCATTAAAAACCAATTTTTATTTAGAACCCACTCCTCAACAGAACACAGTCCAGCCATAAGATGAAGATAAGGGAATCCCTGCAGATTTTATTCTGCTAGTCGTTGCCGACCATAGAGGGCAGTGCTCATCTCCATTTTATGGCCATTGAGCCAGTGCTTTCTGAACACATTTCCACTCTCATGTTGCCTGCATGATGTCACAGAGCGCTGTTACCTTTCCACCAAAGTGATACTTATTTATCTACTTGCATTTGCATGCTTTCGAACTGCTAGATGGGCAGGTGCTGGAGCAGGAACAGGAATTCATCCTGTCATGTGGCGCTGAGGGCTTGAAACTGGGCTGCCGGCTTTCCAGCTGACAAGCCCAGCATCTTAACCACTGAGCCACCGTACTGCCCCCCCAGCCATAATACAATAATATATAAATATTTATAAATTTATAAATATAAACATATAAAACCACAATGAAAATAAACTTTACAGATAATTTTGCAATATAGAAAACCTACAATCATCATCAGTATCTGCTCACAAACACTTCCACCAGTCACCTTTACAAAATACAGAATAGATCCAAGAATGCGTGGAATCTTAAGTGAAGGGGAGGGAAACAATTCAAATCAAGGACCCAGGTTCGGAAATATATGTAAATGAGAAGGAGTAGCAAGCAAAAAGGAGTGAAAACAAGCCTCTGTCTTGTTGATTGCATATAAATAGGATCATTCCAAGACAGGAACTGGGAAAGGTAATGGGAAGCAGCTAAGCACACAAAGAACACCCTCCAGTTTATTATGAAATCAAATGAAGATTTTTAAAAGTCCAACCCAACTTTGGGTTAACCCAGTGATGGCGAGCCTTTTAGAGACCGAGTGCCCAAACTGCAACCCAAAACCCACCTGTGCATCGTTGGGTGCCGGGTGGGTGTGGCCAATTGGGTGGGCGTGGCTGCGGTGGTAACGGCAGACTGGGTGGGACTAAAAAGTTCAATCAATCAATTCCAACTTTGCCAGATCTTTTTTTTTCCCCGTGAAAAGTTGAAATTGACTGATTGATCGAACCTTTTTTTTTTTGTACACAGTGGCGGAGGCCTAAAGCAAAAAGGTTTTATAAAACCCAGCTGAAGGCCTAGGACTGGGGCGGCAGCGCACGTGCCCACAGAGAGGGCTCTGAGTGTCACCTCTGGCACCCGTGCCATAGGTTCGCCACCACTGGGTTAACCTCTTTAATACCAAACCCACTACCATGGACAGTGTTCTTTTTATAGTCAGAATGCAGATAGATGACGCAATATCTATGGCACTGGGAGGAGCTTTAGAAGATCTTTAGAAGATAATAGGCAATTATTACCTATAATAGCTTCTCTTCCAGTTAGTAATTATTTAGATAATGGGCAAGCTGCTTCTCCACATGGCAACTTTTACTTATTCTCCAAATTCTAATTTTAAAAAAAGTGTTGACTTCTGGTTTGGATGAAATAAAAGACTCTGAGTTCCTATGGTCGTATTTAGGCTATGTGCCTGAATTATTAACTAATTTATCCCCTTTTGTTATTTTAGTGGTTTACATAGATGAAGATGAATATTGGGATTCTGAATTAATTGCAGGTGGTGAACAACACAATTTCTTTGGAAGAGCAAACATTAAATGTTCAAATTCTAATGTGCTACTCTCAGAATCTGCATATGATGTGTTTTCTAAAAATCTTAATAAGAGGGTAAGTTCATTTTAGCTATGTAGAACTGCCTTACGACTGTTGTGAAATTAAAACATTGGTGGAATGGACTCTTAGACTTATCATCAGAGATACTATATACAAAATAATTCTTTCGTTGAGTATTTTCTTTCACTATTAAAACAGACTATTCTTTTTTTTATTGTTAGACAGCTAAAACCTATCTGTAGGCTATAATGTAATATATTTGGGTTAGATGTTTGCCCTTTGAGTATTAGACATGATATGTAAGGGAAAATAGCATTTTACTTATTAAGAAGCTGAAGCTTTTTATATATAAAGTGAAAAGTGAATATTTGCCTTAGGAAAAGAAAATCAGATTTTAGTCTAGTAAATAAAAAAGTGAAATCTAGATTTTCAAATTAATTAAAAGTGTACATAGCTCTAAGTTAATTGCAAACCAAATGAGAGGGTTCTTTCCATGTTGTCTAAGACTGATGATGATTAATGTTTTTTTCTCTCAAGCTTAAGGATGTATACAGTTATTCACCTGCATTGGGGAGATATTTTATCTCATCTGAAGTTATTTCCTTCAGGTACGAAGGGTAACAAAACCCCATATGTTTAATTATGCAATTTTAGGAAAAGAATTTCCTCTTGGTTGTCATGTGTGGGCTGGGAAAATAAAAGAAAGATGGAATGAAAAAGGACTTTCTATGCAGTATGTTGAAATGCAATCATTATTTATGCTAATGAGCATTTTATTTCAGCCATAATTTCAGAAGTCATAGTATAGTATATCTATCCCCACTTGTATCCTGTTCATGACTATAGTCCAGTGGTTCTCAACCTATGGGTCGGGACCCCATTTGGGTCGATCGACCATTTCACGGGGGTCGCCAAGCAAGGCGGTCCGCCATTTTTTTCCCCCTTTTCCGGCGGGTGCCTTACCTCCCTTGGGCTGGGCCAGCTGGTGGTCGGCCTGCTCCGTCTCTGCCGCTTGCCAGCTACGCCTCGGCCGGCGCAGGGGGCGGAACCACGCATGCACGGCGCTCCCGGGCAGGGAAAGTCCTTGACTTACGACCGGTTGGGTAGTCCTCGACTTACGACCGGTTTAGTCCTCGACTTACGACCGGTTTAGTCCTCGACTTACGACCGGTTGGGGTCGCGGCATTAAAAAGGTTGAGAACCACTGCTATAGTCAATCACAGTATTCTACATGAGTCAGTAAATTGTAGAGAACTCCAGCAGTGTTTAGTGGTTATTGAACTTGTTCAGTCTTTTTTACCTTTTAACTGAACAATATTGAGCAAGTGAGAAATTTGTCCAATATGAAAGGTTTAAAGAATCCAACGTCCTGCTAAATTGCTCCTGTAAGAAATAAATTAGACATTTTTTAAAATACTGGTTTTTTTCTTCAGCTTTTCCATCCTACTTGTATAGTGAGAAGGAATACAGTATATATTTGATTCACACATGTCATCCAGTAGATACTATTTGAAGCCATGACTGTGAGAAAATGCTTTGGGTTCATGCAGAGCTTCAGCCCTTTGATTCTGAAAGAATATGTCAATGAGTCTGGATCTCAAGAGACTTCAAACTTGCAGGCCTAGCCTAATAGACCTCCTTTTGACCATGCTCCAGTGAACAAAAATGTTGAGTTTTATTGTGAAAAATAATTGATATTGGAAGCTACCATAAGAATCAAGTTGTTTGAAATTTCTGAAATCAATTTGCATATCTTGTAAAAATGAACTGCATCCATTTTCCATAGACATACTGTACATTGATAACTGTAGTACCACCTGTGGGGAATAAGGAAAATGACTTTGACAGACATAAACCAAATCCATTAGTTAAGTGATAGGAAGAAGAACATATTTTAAGTCAAAAACAAGCAGTAAACAAAAGTAAGTGGCTGAGACATCTCCCTAATTTACCTGTGTAAAGAAGGGGAGGGAGCACAACACAATCAGACTTGTGATATTCTATTATTATAGCTACTGCCAATAAAAATAGCCTTAGCTTTCATTTATTCTTGGTCTATGTTACCCAGTGGTACATATAGCAACATATTTTTTGAAAAACACTTAAAACATGTGAAGTGAAAACCTTACAAACATGGCGGAATTGTTTTCTAACTGTGAGGTTTTCGATGCTCTCTGAGCTTGGTTGTTTTCCTGAAAACGTTTCATTACCAAGCTAGGCCACTTCATCATAATGATGTTACCTCATTTGGTAATGAAATGTTTGCAGGAAAACAACCAAGCTCAGAGATCACCAAGGACCCCATAGTTAGAAAACAATTCCGCCATGATGTTTGTAAAGTTTTCACTTCCCATGTCTTAAGTGTTTTTCAAAAATATGTTGTTACTAGCTGTACCCGGCCACGCGTTGCTGTGGCTCAGTCTGGTTAAATGGAAAAGAAAGAAAAGAGAAAGCACACGTTTCTAATATGTTTAATTTCACAATGCTTGTAAAAGAAAAAAATAAAGTATACTCACGAAATGAATGCTACGGTAAACGACACAGCTCAATTCCAACGCAATGTCACACGAAATAATTAAATCAAAATGAAAATAAATCGAAATCTATGAAAATTCAATTTAACAATGCAATCGGAAACATTGAAATGGAATCGTAAAATTGGAAATTTGGAAATCATAAATGGATCGTAAATCGGAAACATTGAAATGGAATCGTAAAATCGTAGCGTGTGTTGCTTTTACGTCCAACAGATGGCGCTGTTTTTCAAAAAAAGCATGTTTTTACCTGTCACAGGTGTGACATCTATATAATAGTAGGTATCATCGAAATCGATGGACGAACAACAACAGTAGGTATATAAAAACATGCGCGTATTCGAATGCAACGTTGTATCAAAATTTCAAAGCAATCGGTGAAGAACTTTCGGAGATTTAAGATTTTGAACAAACGAACATTTACATTTTTATTTATATAGATATGTACCACTAGGTAACATAGACCAAGAATCAAGGGAAGCTAAGGCTATTTTTATTGGCAATAGCTATAACAATAGAATACCACAAGTCTGATTGTGTGGTGCTCCCTCCCCTTCCTTTACACAGGTAAATTAGGGAGATGTCTCAGCCACTTTTGTTTACTGCTTGTTTTTGACTTAAAATATGATCTTCTTCCTTTGTAAGGCAGTTCAAGCCTGAGCTACAAGTATTCTCTTCCATTTGGCATTTCATTCTCACTTCCTATCATTCCTTCAGTGGAGAAAACAATACAGCATCATACTACTTGCGATTCTTGGTGCCACCTGAGAGTGCTGACTTCATGAAGTATAGAATGAATGAGGAGTTTGTAATGAATATTTTAAGACAAAATATATATGACAAGCAAAGCATCCCTGACTTGGATATACCTGAATGTGCAGATATAATACTTGATCCATCTTCTGTTACAATAAAATGTAAGTGCTGAAGAAAGTGAATAATAAGTTCATGTACTTTTTTAAGAAAAAAAAAAATTAAAGGACATATACTCTGCTAATTTGTGACCTCTGGTCCAATATCCTAGGAACTATAAATTTGCTTCTCTGAGCTTGGTAACAGATTCTAAACAACGAGACAATCGGTTCCCATCCTGCATTCATATTTGTGACTAAGCTTTCAAATGCCAAGAAATGCAGATATTTGGGACCCTTAAAAAAACACAAAGGCAGGGAAAGGAGATGGAGTTTTGAACTCTGAGTGCCAAGATGACCTGTAGTACGGAAAGTCTTAAGTCTGCCTAGACCTGTTCACATCTCTGTTGCAAGGGAAATTTAATCCAGTCTTGATGCTTTATTAATAATAGAAGGGGACAATTTAAAAGAAAGGCATTTTTAAAAGCACTGAAATTTTGTCTCCTTTACTTGTCACTTATACTATTGTTGTTGTTATTGGTTTGTTTTATCTCACCTACTGGCTGAGAAATACTTCTAAATGAATTTCCAATATATAAAACAATATTCTAATTTGTTCTCTTTAATGGTTATAATTGCTGATTTAAATTACTAAATAATATTTTATAAACCTAAGAGATAGTTTTTAGTGTTAAGGATCTATACCTAACATTACATAACAATTGGTAAGTGTGTGTGTGTGTGTGTGTATGTATTACCTTGAGTGTTTTTTGATGCACCCTGTCAGCCCAAATATGGGAGGAAGAAATCTTTTTATTTATTTGGGCCGGCAGGGTGCATCAAAAAACACTCAAGGTAATTCTCTTCCCCTGTTCTCTTCCCTCCCTGACACAACTGACAAAGTGAGAAAGAACCTGTGGCCTAGAGGTTAACAGAGCTGCCTAATGTGCAAGGAGCCCAGGTTCAAATCTCAGAAGGATATGTCTGGCTGATGAGTCTCCCTTAATTCTATGTATGTATGTATGTATGTGTCTGTGTGTGTGTGTGTGTGTGTACACACACACACACACACTGTATATATATATATGGTGGATGTAATTTACGTGATATAATTTACGTGATATAAACATATTAATAATGAATACTTTTAGAAGTGTTTTCTTTTTCATACTTTTGAAATGCTTATATTTTTTGTTTTATAGTAATATAAACCATCAATACAGGTGGAAGAATTGAATACAGATTTCAAGAGTGACTTTGGAGGACTCCTCTAATCTTCTTATGAATTTTTATATTGCAAAAGCAGAAAAATATGGCTGTATCAAGCAATTGCACACTTACAAATTCAAATTTAGCACAACAGTATAGACTCCTTGAACAACAATCAGAGCATAATATAGTACAAGAAACTGAAGCAACAATTTTATAAGAAGACAAATGTTCCAGATCGCAGATAAGTAAAATCCTATTCAGTATAGAGACTTCTTTTTGGTGAAATAACAAGAAGGACCTTTTCTTCATTTTTTGAACTCAAGTCAGCTAAATCAAATAAAATCAAGTTATAAAACAACACCCACAATTGTATAGAAATGTTGCTTTTATTATTGCTTATTATTTTTGTTACAATGTGCGTTGCTTTGAGAGTGTTGGCTTTAATAATTCATAACAAAATTGATTGCTAATCACACTAATTCTAATGTGTAAAATACAGTAGGGATGGACAAGTCTGTCAGTTTTACTTTCATTTGTATATATTTTACAGTAATTCCAATTTTTTTTCAATAAAAAAAAAAGGTAATTCCCTAGCAAATATAGATATTTGCTTTTTGCTATATAATTTTAAATTGTTTGTACCCGACAGATTATTAGGAACAAGATATTTCTTCTTTGGAAGGACCTTTTTTATCTGCTTCCCTATTAATGTTAAAGATGAAGAGCTTGGTTTGCAATTTTTTAAAATTGAAAACTCCCTAATTCAGCAATATTCCACATTCCATATATTTGTCAGATTGACATTGCAAGAGTTCTTGTAACTGACATTGCAAGATTTATGTCCTCAAAAATAAGATTGGGTGTCCACAGCAATCCTTGCATCTGAAGATGTCAATAAATCCCCTGTGCCAAAGAAAAAAACGGTGACATAGTTTTCCCAATTGCATGAATATTGCTTGATTTTTTTCTTTCCACACTCTTCCCCATATATATTTTGTATTCAGTTTCTCTTGCTATTCCCAATGTTGAGTCTCCCCAGCTATTGTTGAAGTGATATAAAGCCTATCTTCATGATTCTGTTAAATCAGTCCAGAAATCTTTGGATGACACCATTAATTGCTGCTGAGAAACTTGCTATTCGGGCCTTATGTTTGTATCTGGCTTTGTACCTGCTTTGTATATCCGTATCTGCTTTTACTTTGGTTCTCTCTTACATTTCCTCAGACTGGCATGTTCAAAGTAGACTTTGGACCTTTTTTTCAGTAAAGCTACTGTATGGACAAATTATCTTTCAAAGCAAACATTTACTCAGGGTGGATTCCCATAGGTGGGAATTTCCTTTCAGTGTGAATTCTTCAGAGATGGGGGCTTTCCTTCTATCGCAGCAGGTGAAACAAATGCTAATTCCTCCCTTCCTCACCTCCTGTAAATT